TTAAAGAGCTAAACCCTATGAAGTCTTTATATTAATTCTAGAACAATTGGGACGACAAAGATGTCAGGCATCCTTGATCTTCATCTTATATATGTGATGTATTCATATATGCATTAAAAGACAAGCACCATATTTCATAATTTATCTTGAAATTGTGGATTAACTCGTACAAAAAGATCGAGTTTCCGATAATTAATATTACTGAAGTTTAAGCTCTTTCATGTTGACTAAAAATATCTAATCACATTATACATTTATATTAATATATGATAAATTTATTTTTATGGTACATGGGCATCATTTCTAATATTTTAATAAGTAATTTATTAAAACTTTATATTCCACCTAATTGTGTAGACTAACCCCTATAAAGTCTGCAATTTCTATATAAACGAGGATAAATAAGGTCTCACACCTATTTAATTTTTATCACATGTCAGTGCATAATGAAGTTATGCATTAAAACAAAATACCATATTTTCTAATTATCTTACAAAAAGATCGAGTTTTTTCCAATAAATGCTATATATACTTTAGTATATATAACCTTTTATAAAAATATCCAAGAATTAACATGTTTTCCAATAGATGCTATTTATACTTAAGTTTAGCATCTTTATTGTTGTTTAAAATATATAAATTATACTTTTCCAAAGAATTAACTGCTTCTGAAGAAGTATGTTTTGGTATAGCATTCTGTAAAAATTATAATGATTCATCATCAAATGCTACAGTTACTAACAATTACAATAGTTCATCCTTACATATTGCAATGGTTCATCATAAAAAATTCAAGTGGTAGATAACCAAAAGTTGCAAGGTTTCATTTTAATCAATTGTAACTATTCATCCAGAAACTGCAATAGTTTGTTTAAATGGTTACAAAGATTTACATAAATTTCCAACAGTCATTCTTCATTCGAGTGTAATTAGATATTTACTAAATACACAATACATATATCAAAATCATGCATAAATTAAAAAGTGCACATAGATAAAAAAAAAATTCATGGTTTAAATTTTGTTGGTGCTTATCTACTAATAAATAATATTGTCAAAATAGTTCAAATATTTTATTTGAAACTGAATAAACGAAACTGAATCAGAATTAGAAATATATAGTATTGTAAAAAAAAATATTAAAACCATAAATTTAATATAATATTATAAATAATTAAACTACTCAACACACCGAATTACCTGGATATTTTAAAATAATTTTTAAGATTTTTCAAAATGCATACAAATTAGATATGCAAAATAACTAAAAGAAAATTCACTAAAAATAGTCACAAGTTTTAGAATGAAAATACACCTTAGACATTTTGACAACCTCTTCAAAATTTATGTAATTTTTATAATGAAAAAACACTCTTTAAATATTTTTACAATTTCTTATAAACCACTGTATTTTTAGGATGCAAAGACATATCATTATAAAAATACATCTTTAAATATTTTGATAATTTATTTTAAACTAATTCAATTCTTAGGGATACAATGACACATATTCTAACATCTTTTGGATTCCCCAAGAATTATGAATTTTCTCCGTATTAATATTGATTTTTTATTAATATTATTTAACTACAAGGATGCTTTAAAATATATGGAACACTTAACCATATAATTAGTTATTAATTAATCAATTTAATTCTTTCGTAAACCATAATTGTTTATCAAATAATTAAGAATTTAATGACCATTATTTTATTTGTCACCTTTGAAACAATTTAAATGGTATCTTTTCATATAGAAAACATATCTAGTAACTTTTCCAAGAATTAACTATGATTTTTCACCAACAAAACTATAACCGTCACAATTTTTTTTAGAGTAATTAAACCGCATGCATGAAAAACATTTTTCATTTCAGAATATTAAAATGCATGCACATGTGAACAAAAAAGAATTAATATAAAGCGAATTCATATATTTCTTTTAAAACACTTTTTATGAACTTTATAGTAAGGCAAAGCAATTGTTCATGCATTACTATCAACAAAATTTGAGAACAAAAGAAAAAAAATTCTAAGCACTTATACAGCCATCCCGCTTGTTCGTTTATGTGTGAAAGTTTACAGAACCTTAAGCTAACAACAAACAATATTTCTAGATTTACAAAAAAAAAAAAATCTAGAAACTTAAATGCCAGAAGGAAACATTTCCAGATGTTGTGCTTATATACATGGTTTTGAATGTACACTTAAACAAATGTATTATGTTTAAGAAAAAATATTCTTTACTTTCTAATCCAACATCAAAAAATTTAAATACATGCAAATCATCAATTCATGCATAAAACGTTAATTATGCCGACCGTAAACTTGTCTCACGAACAATCATTATAACGGATGTAACCTAAGTGTCGCTATCAAAATTTCTTATATAATCTAAGTGTATGAAATTGAAGGACATGAATTATCTATTCATAGAATAAAGATAATCAAAAATATAGTTTTGTTAGAAAAAAAATTTATTCTTCACTATTTTTTAAGATTAGTGAAATTTTTACTGAAAAAACTCATGAACATATACTATTTATAGATTTTCAAAATTTTATATGAATAATTACAACTTTTCAAGTTAAAGTTAGTTATATTAATGAATATCATAACATTCAAATTATTAGTAGTGAATAGTCACAATCTTTCAAGTTATAATTAGTTATTTTTATGAATAGTCTCAACTTTAAAATTAAAGATAGTGAATAGTCATAACTTTTCAAAATAAAATTAGTTATTTTATGAATAGTCACAACTATCTAATTATAAGTAATTATTTTAAATGATACATTTACATTATATATTTGAATAGACTCATTATTTCAATAAAATACATTTATTATAAAAAGATTAACTATTTTAAAAGTAACTAAAATTAAAATAGACACACTATTTAAAAAACAGTTTTTACATGAAGATATCTTAGGTATTTTTAAAAAAATCTATTCTTTCTTTACAATAGAGAGACATAAATTTTCTCTTAGATGGAAATGGAATGCACAACTTTTGACATTAATTGGAATTGCTATTATTAATAGATATAAGTTTAGCTAAAAAGATATAATATGTTATATAAACTTATACTTATATTACTAAAGTATTAACACTTTTTTAAAGTATAAAACATAAATATTAAATCTTTGTAGATATAAACCAAATTATAAAAAAGTTTAAGAACTACTTTATAAATAAAAAATCAATACTAAAATGAATTTTTGAATAATTTTCTCTCAAATTTGAGGGAACATTATTCATGCACTTATTTTTTTCTTCAAAATGAAATATTGTTGGAGAGGTTTTCCCTTAAGTTTTGATGCTTTCCCTCAAAATGAGGGATCATCAGTAACTAATAGAAAATAACTATGGATTATCCGTGGCTATTTTATGGCTATGTCTATTAGTGACCATAAAAGACAACTATATATATATATGTATGTATGATTACATGCCATGAGATCACGAGAAACAAAATTAACTTAATAATCAAATCCAAAAACAAATCTCGTTCTCAGTTTGACCTAATTGTCTTATGCATACACGTTGCTATCATTTTTAACAAAAACTAGATTTTTGATCCGCACTTAAAAAGCATAGATACCATTTTTATTGTTTTATTTACAGATGGATCGATACGTTTTTTTATTTTGATGATATAAAATATTCTTGTCTAATATAACTTTCTAAAATTATTTTAGATTTTAGTTTATTATTATCATTAATATCTATGTAAATGTATTATATGTAATTATGTAGTTTTATTTTGGAAAATAATATCAATTCACTATGCTTGGTGTTGGGAAGCGGGTCAAACTCGCCCTGCCTGACCCGCAAAGAAAATAAATTTTATCTGTATCTGCCTCACTTAATTTTGCGGATAATCCGCGGGATCTGTGGATAATTACTAATACTAAAAATAATTATTTTTTTCTAAAAAATAATATTAAGTAATATATTTTAATTATTTTTTAGTTTTTTCTTTTAAAAATAATTATTTTAACCAAATTTAGTATATTTTGAAAAATAATTTTTAGAATTTTTTTTTTCTATTTTTGCAAACTACCGGATATCCACAAATTAGAACAATCTGCATTTGTTCTGCGTAAAATATATTTGACCTGCACCGTAACCGCAACTTAGTTTTTTTCAAATATTGATTCACATGTTCCGTGGTAGGTCAAATGAGGCAGGACCAACATGCTAATAATTAGAAGATGAATTTGGCCAATTAAGAGAATCTCCAATGTAATACTCCATTTTTCCTCCAAAATGAAGTAAAAATGAATATGGAGTAAAAATGTTTCATCCCTGTTTCATATCATACTCCATAGATTACTCCATCTATGGAGTAAATTATGGAGTGGAAAATGGAATTGAGTTAGAGTGTTTTCTACTCTATATTTTCTTTTACTCTATTTTGGAGTAAAAATTGGAGTTGAGTTGGAGATGCCCTAATAAAACCTATTAATATATAGTTTTTAGGCTCATAATAAAAATACCAAATTGCCATTAGTGAAAAATTAATTTTGTTCATAATAATAAGAGTTTTTTTAGAAAACATAAAAATCTCTTTAATGGAAATGAACATATTTTAATGGTATTGATTCATAACGATTGGTGCAATTTTAAAGTTATCAGCAGACCAAACAGAAAAACTAACAATATGTACTAATTGATGGAATTGATACGGTACCTAACCAAATTATTGCTGACCTTAACGACAGAGTATCTGATAGCTCTGAATCCAACCCTGACAAAAAAAATATATATATATTAATAGCTTTTTCTAGATAAATTAAGTGAGAAAATATATACCCTTTAGGCTTTTTCATAAAATAGTCACCCACAAAGAAAAATGATAGAATATAAAAATAAATGATGTCACTAGCATTTTTACTTGATCAGTGCAATAATAAACAAAAATACTAAATATATTGACCATGGAAAACATAAATCACCTATATAATGAATGCCCTCGATAGCCATGATTGACCACGAGAAACAAAAGCGACCTAAATAAAAAAAAAAAAATCATATCATCCACCATCAAAAAAATGGTGGTAGAGACAACAAAACATGAAGAACCAATCATATGCCAATCAAAGACGGTATGTGTAATAGGCGCAGGACCATCAGGGTTAGTGTCGGCGAGAGAGCTGAAGAAAGAAGGTCATAAGGTGGTGGTGATGGAGCAAAACAACGACGTAGGAGGGCAATGGCTATACCAACCAAACGTAGAACAAGAAGACCCTTTGGGGAAAACCAAAAGTCTAAAAGTACATAGCAGCATTTACTCATCCTTGAGGTTGATTTCGCCGAGAGAGGTAATGGGTTTCTCTGATTTTCCATTCACGGTTAAGGAGGGAAGAGACACGAGGAGATTTCCCGGTCATGAGGAGCTTTGGTTGTATCTTAAAGATTTTTGTGAGGTGTTTGGGCTGAGAGAGATGATCAGGTTTAATGTAAGGGTTGAGTTTGTGGAGATGGTGAATGATGATGATGATAATATGAAGAGATGGATGGTGAAGAGTGTAGAGAAGAAGAGTGGTGAGGTTATTGAAGAAGTGTTTGATGCTGTTGTTGTTGCCACTGGTCATTACTCTTACCCCAGATTGCCTTCTATTAAAGGTATGTATACTAATATATACTGTATACAAATAGATCATAATTCATTTTACTGCTCATTATTTTTCCTCTTTAAAAAATTATTTTCCATATTGAAAAGTTGTTAATGGTGGTTGCAAGCCAAAAAGGATGGTATTGTTGCTGATAGTTTTTATTTTTTATTACCATGGAAATTTCAGGGTTTACTTTCATAAACATGAAGCCAACTTGTTAAAAACTCTAATTCTTTTTTTTTTTAAATTAATAGTTTGGGTGTATATAATTTATAGGAATGGATATGTGGAAGGGGAAGCAAGTTCATAGCCATGTCTACAGGGAGCCTGATCGTTTTCGTGACGAGGTGACCATAATTGATCAAACCAAACTCCATGATATAGATTTAATGATCATCCATAATGTATGATATGCATGATGACGAATGTTAGGTGGTGGTCGTCGTAGGCTGCTTCGTGAGCGGACCTGACATATCAATTGAACTTGTGAAAGTTGCAAAAGAAGTTCATCTAAGTTCCAAATCACTTAACGTCTCTCCTGGCGTTTCTAAAGCCATTTCAAAATATCAAAACATGCATCTCCATCCACAGGTAACCATGTTAATTAATTTCACCATCAATCTTATTTCAAAAACATCAAAACTTTGTATAATTGATATAGAAACTAACGAATTATTTTATTTTCTTCATTTCTTTCTAATGGATTGTATTGTGTATAGATTGAATCTCTAGAGGAAGATGGACGTGTCGTTTTCATTGATGGGTCTTGTATTGTAGCTGACACCATTTTGTACTGTACCGGGTAAGTTGTCCATTCAACTTCAAAAACTCCCTCCTTTATATTTTTAATAGTATTGATGTTGTTTCAAAATATAAAATGTTTTGAGATTTTAAAATATATTTTGAAGTTTTAAAATTAATTTTAATTTTATTAGAAATTCTTCAACCAATCAAAATTATATTTTTTTATAATTAGTTGAATGATTTTAAAATTATATCTTTAAAAGTATTTTTTAAAACAATATTAATGTCTTTATCTCCATACAATAAACCAAAACATCATATTTCCCCCATTTTATATTAAGTGTCGTTTTAGAAAAAAAATTTGGTTACAAAATAAATGTCATTTTTGATTTTCAATGTAAAATTTATTAATTTTATTTTGTAGTCTATTTTTCTATTCATTGATATATGGTTAGGTGTATATGTAATTGTGTTTTTATATGGAAAATATGTAAAATTAATGGTTTTCTTAATACGTGTGCATGCGCCTAAAACAACACTTATAATGAAACAGAAGGAATATAAAATAAGGGATTAGTACAAACTTCAAAGTATATTTTATACACGTGTCTAGGTATTGGTACAAATTCCCATTTCTTGAGACTAAAGGAATAGTGAAAGTGGATGATAATAGAGTGGGTCCACTATTCGAACACACGTTCCCACCTTCTCTGTCTCCTTCTCTCTCCTTTGTCGGAATACCTCGAAAGGTAATGATAATTACAATGATTTGGTCCGTTAAACACATAACTAATCATATGATCGACTCATCAATCAAAACATTTGCAGTTGATAGGGTTCCCATTCTTTGAATCACAAGCGAAATGGATCGCAAGTCTTTTATCAGGCAAGACTTCACTTCCTTCCTACGATGAAATGATGGAATCAGTGGACGAGTACTACCGTGCCAGAGAAGCCAGTGGAATCCCTAAACGCAACAGTCATGACATCCCTGACTTCGATGTACTTTACTTTCTCAGTTTCTCTTTTTTTTTTTTTGGTTCTTGAAACATTTTTTTTATAATAATTGCAGTATTGCGATAAGTATGCGGATTACT